GGACCTACCTGGTGCTGGCCTCAAAACGGCCCAGCCGGTCTGGGTCCCTACCGGACGTCCAGACTGTGCTGCTGATGCAGCAGGGCGCCAAAAAACGTGCCTGGCCTTCTTGTAGGCCCTGCCTCCGGTACCCAGTCCCAAGGTCGTGCCTTGGGGACTGCAAGTCCGAAACGACACCTGCACAGACAACGACGGGTGAGCAGGTAAGTAAATAAATAAATAAATAAATAAATAAATAAATGAATGCTGCCTATATTTGCCGAATGTGGCCTGGGGGCCGCCGTGGGCCTCCACGGCGCATGTCTGATGGGCATGCGGCCTGGGGGCCCCTCAGCAACCGTCGGGCCCCTCAAATGGGGCCCGTGTGCAGGTGCAGCATGTAACACCCCCCCCTCCTTATGAAGTCAAGCCGGGTCGAAGGCGGAGCCAACGATCTGAAGGTGGAACCTGGATGCGGGTGTGACATGGAGCTGAAGATACCGACTTGCGTTGCAACTTGCGTTCGTAACGTGCGAGAACATCTGGAGCTGTTGCTTGGAGTTCCGCACGGGTCAACCAACGGTCGGCTTTGTGGGTGCAGTACGCAAAGCGTACCAAGTATTCGGTTGGCCTGTTGCCGTAGCGTCGCTGGGAGATGATGTCGCCAACCTCTTGAAAACCGTCCATCGAGGGTGGGTCTTGTGATCGTCACCCGAGGAAGTCGTCATGTTCCGCTGGCGTGTAAAGAGCCAACTTGGAGCAGTGAAAGACCGGGTAGACGAGCAAGCGGGCAGGCACCTGAATGACAAAGGAGGGTCCTTTGGGTGTATCCCCAGCGGGTGCCACGATCGGCCAGGGCCCCATCCATTTCGGGAGGAGCTTGCGAGATATATCTTGTTGGAGGCTGAATTCCGAGGCGGAAACCCAGAAGAGGTTGCCGGCGCGGAATGGACAAGGAAGACGCTGGCGATTGGCTTGTTGGCTCATGCGTTGCTGCGTCTTTGCAATCTGGTTGCCTGCCTTGACAAGAAGCTCCTGCATCCGACGAATGAAGAGGAGATGGTGGTCGCTCTCGGACGCCCGTGGGATAAACGTGTCCAACGGAGAAGTGACCGGCGAACCATGCTCGAATTCAAAGGGCGACATCCCGATAGCCGGATGGATAGACGAGTTGTATGCCAACTTGACATCCGGCAGCCGCTCAACCCAATCCTTTTGGTCGGGACGGATGAGAGTGCGAAGTAGGACCTGTGCGGTCTGATGCGCTCTCCCCGTTTGGCCATCGGTTTAGGGGTGGCGAGCCGAACTCGACTTGAGAGATGAGCCCCATCGTTTGATGAGCGCCAACCAAAAATCGAACATGAACCGAGTGTCGCTGTCGCAAACGATTTCCTTGGGGTAACCCTTGGTTTGAATCCAGCCGGCGTACAGAAACTCGGCCAACTCCGGTGCCTTGGCATGATAGCGCCAAGGCAAAAACATGGCAAACTTGGTGAGTCGGTCGACCACCGTGAGAATCCCATCCACACCAGTCTTGTGCTTGGGGAACGACTCGTTAATGTCCATGACAATCGCTTCCCTTCGGCGCAAGGGGACTGGTAATGGTCACAACTCGTCGTACGAACGATGATTGCAGGATTTGCAACGTTGGCAAACCTCGCATGACTCGCAGTAGCGTGCGACGTCGTCGAGAAGACCGGGCCACCAAAAACGCTCGAGGAGTCGGCCAATCATATGATTGACTCCAAAGTGTCCGGTGGCAGGAGCGTCGTGGAACTCGCCAAGAAGCCGTGTGAGCAAGTGTGAATCTCGGGGCACACAAAGAAGATCCTTCCCTCGTGCATGGACGAGCAAATACCCCTCTTGGATCCTATAGAGCGATGGCGCCGGATTGGGAGAGGAACAATTTGCGTACTTGTCGCAAAACTCGAGGTCGACTTGGTAGCCGCAGATGAAGTTGTCCTGCAAGTCGTCATTAATCTCAAAAGTTGAGTAGACTGCGGTACAATGGTCCGGACATCGTGAGAGAGCATCCGCAAAACGGTTTGACTTGCCCGGAATGTGATCGGGGAAGAAGTCAAATTGGTCGATAAAGGCCATCCAACGGGCACTGGTGCTATTGATCGTGTCTTGGGTCTTGTAGAAGACCAATGGGTTATTATCCGTCACCCATCGAAACTGTCGCCGACCAAGAAGAAAATGCCGCCAGCGCTTGAGTGCGTGTACAAAGGCCAATAATTCCTTCTTCCGTGCGTCGACAATCGAGTGCACGACGGGCACTTCCTTGCTAAAGTACTTGATCGGGTGCCAGTCCACGCTCGAGGACGACACCAATGCCATAGCCAAACGCATCAGTCGTGACGCGTGTCAACAAAAGTGGATCGTAGATGAGCAACACCTCCGCGGATAGTAATGCGACTTTGAGGACCAAAAAGGAAGTCCGCGCATTGTCGTCGAAGTCGAATGGTCGGTCCTCGCATTGAAGCTTGGGTGAATGAGCCGCGATCTTCGAGTATCCCTTGATGAAGTGTTGATAGTAGCCGGCTAAGACAAGGAATGAACGGACATTTGTGACGTTCTTTGGCTCCGGCCACTCTTAGATGGCTTGGATCTTGTCCGACAACGAACTGATGCCCTACGGTGTGACGAAATGCCCCAAGTACTCCAACTCTTGACGCACGAATTCACACTTGTCGCGGTTGGCCTTGTACTTGGCGAGACGGAGCGTTTCCAACACGTGTCGAAGGTTCTCGAGGTGTTCCTCCAAGGTTCGGCTATAGACGAGAATATCGTCTAAGTAGACCAGCATAAACCGGTCCAACGTAGCGTGGAGCTCGTTGGTCATTGCCGCTTGAAAAGTTGTTGGGGCATTGGTGAGGCCAAACGGCAAAACGACCCACTCAAAATGCCCGTACCTCGTCTTGCACGCGGATTTGTAGCAATCTTGCGGGCGGATCGAGATCTGATGATAGTCCAACTTCAAGTCCAAATTCGAAAAGAATTCCACGATGCCCAAACGCTCAAGAAGATCGTCAATGCGCGGAAGAGGTCCCGCATTCGTGACGGTTTGTGCGTTGAGCTTGCGGTAGTCAATGCACAAGCAAAGATCCTTGTTCTTCTTCCGTATGAAGAGAACTGGCGCACCGTATGGTGAGCTGCTAGGGCGGATCCAGCCCTTGTCCAACAGATCATCGAGTTGCGCGCAGAGAACCGCGAGCTTTTCCTCGCTCATGCGATAGATGCATCCTTTCGGCGGCACGGCACCGGCCTCAAGAATGATCTCGTGGGAGATCAGCCGATCCGGCACCACACCGGTAGGAGACTCGAAGATGTCAGTGAACTCGTAGAGTAACCGCACCACTCGGGGGTCCGAAGACAAGTCCGTTGGTGAAGATTCGGTCGCCGCGACGATCCGAAGAAAACATAGGCCTATCTCGTCGGTCCGCTCGTAAGCGCAAGTGGCCCAAAAAGACTTGGTCATTACAACTTGGCACCGTATTGAAGGGTGCAGAAGAGGAATGGTACACAGCACCTCGGCGCCGAAGGCGTCGTGAACGGTAAGTGTTTGTCGATGGGAGTTAACCATGTGATCCGCACTTGCAAGCCAAGGCGTCCCCAAAATGATGTCGAAGTCCGTGTCCAAGACGTCAAATGTCACCGGTTCGCATGCATGAGGTGCGAAGTAAACCGGCACGGCTTCGATGTAGCGATCGTGCGTCCGATCGTCCGCCAACTTGATCGTCGTTGGGTTTGGCTTCCTTCGAACCTGTGTGCCAAGGCCGACCCTTTGGATAAAGACTTGGCTGATGAAATTGCGAGTCGCGCCACTATCCAGCAAAGCGCTGCAGGACGCTTGCCCAACCTGGATGCGGACATAGAGGAGCGGTGCGTTGTTATCATCGTACCGCTACATGCGAAACTTGTGGGCTGCCTTGCTAACATGTGCAAGGATGTCCCCCGCCGCAGCTTCGTCATCCGTCGACGAAGATGGTGGTGCATAGAAGGCTAAGTATGTGTGGAGACGGGCGCATAATGTTGCGCATTGAGGTACTGGTAAGCAGTCTGTGGAAGGGAAAGGAAGCCATGCAAAATCCTTGGACATCAACGGGTCCAAGACCTCTATGTTGAACTCGTGCATCGAATCTCTTGGAGAACCACTTGAAGACGATATAATGTCACTGCTTCCGGACGGAGAAGAAACTGCACACACATCTTGTCCTTGAGCTTGAGAACCCAGCGAAGGAACGAGCCGAGCAGCATAGTCCTCAGAAGAATATAGGAGAGGACTGTTGACTTCCACATGTGCCTCGGAATGAAGAGAGGTCGCTCGCGAAGCAACCGGTTTCGTAGGTGTCGAGAGTGCAGCCGCATCACTCTCGGCGGTGCTCACTTTCCTGAAGGGAATTTGCCTTTGACTTGCGTGGGGCACTGCACGGTGTTGTGCACTGCGCTGTTGCACCACAAACAGTATCGGTACTTAGTACGGATGCGGTAAACGCCTTCCAAGACACCGTAATGCGTCCAAGGCTCTTGAGCGGCTGGCGGTCCCGGGGGATGAATTGGTGTTTGTCTTCGGTTTGTCGCGCCCTCGCCCTCTGGCGGGGCGGCCACCATCCCGGTTGGCTGCCATTCTGTCTCCTTCATCAGAAGAGGCAGCCTCATTTGAAGGGTTGGTTAACGCAGTTGCTGCGACCACTGCCGATTTCGGCCGATGCTTATCTCTGCCCTGGCTCGCAGCAGACGAACGGCTCAAATTCTTGGCTTCGGTGTTCGTCAAGATGATCAGCGAGGCTTTATCAAAAAGTTGCTCACTCGTGGTGAGCGTCTCCGCAACTTGCGTCAAGGCGTTCTGCAACGCCGAACAGCTCTTCCTGATGAAGAAGTGTTTAATGGCGATAAAGGTCAACGGCAAGTTGGGCGTGGACGCCAAGCATTGGTACTCGGTTATCCAGTCCGTGTTTGGCAGGTCGTTCTGATAGAGAACCGTTGAAGTTTCTTGGCTGCCTGCAGCTCGGGCGGCTCCACTTGGAACCGCTTATGCCATGTTGCCTTGAGATCAGGCCAATTGATCTGCGTATGCAGCTCGGAGACTGCGACAGTGTGCGTGGACAACATATTGTCAAGCCATGCCAGACACGCGCCCCCCAATCGGGAGTATAAGTATGCGTGCCGTTCGGGTCGCTGACTTTGTGAATGTCCGACTTCAACTCAAACTGGCGCCACCATGGAATCGGGTCCGTCTTCGTTGCATTGCAGAAGATCAGCATGCCGTCAAACTTCGGGATGCTCTCGCGAAGGGTCGCCGTCGAACTGGCTGCGGCAGCACAAATCTGCTGGTCAATCCGCAATATTTGTCGCTTGAGCGCTTGAGCGCTGTCCTTGAGCATCCCGACGTCAATTTCCAAGACGTTGACGCGGTCCATCAAGTTGGAGGGTCTGGCGGGGGTGGCTGCTGCAGGCTGCTGTTCCAGCCGGCGTGCCCGGTCAAGCAGGTCGTTGATAAGTCGAGACTGCTTCCTGACCAGAGTGTCCACGCAAAGGATGTCCTCCTGCTGCGCTGTGCAGGTGGCGACCAAGTCGGCCACATGTTCCATTGCGGTTGCAAGGCCGCGCACAGCAGAGGGGCGTCCTTCTCTTCGGCATCCACTGCCCATTCGCTGGCAACCAGCTCGATGTCCTCCTCAGACTCGAAGAGTTTGTCTCGGCATAGTCGACGACGTTCGTCTGCGGCCTTCCTTGCTGCCTCATAGTCCTCCTGTCGCTGTTGTTCAGCGAGGTGACACTGTTCCTCGGCCTCCTCATCTTTCTTCTTACGTGCGGCTGTTGCCGCTGCTGCCCGTTGCTTGAACTCTGCCACCATGTCCAGCATGCGGGCCTCATAGGCCTCGGGAGTCTCTCCCGTCTGCTGATCCATGCCACTTGTCTTTGAGCGGGTGAGCACCATGCACTGACGTGACCTGCTGATGTGGCGACTTACCAATGCCGTACGTGAGGACAGGCGGGAGGAAGAGAAGTAGAGAAGTGTGACAGCAGGGGTGGGAACACTGATCACCCAGATAAGGAGCCTCTAATCAAATTTGAAAAATTCAAACTTTTGTAATGACCCGCCAAAAACACAGACTGAGAACACTGCTGATTTCTGGGATTTGCCGCTGGAATGAATGCCTTGCTGAAATTCCCGCATTCTGCTATGATTTCCATGTCTGTGTGTGTGTGCGTGCCTGCTGGTTTGCATGTCTGTCTGAGTGCTTGTCGGTTGAGTGTGTGTGTGACCCGCAAGGGTACTTGTTGGTTGCAAGGCCCCCCAGGGCCGATACTTACCTGTGGCCATGACTGTGAGGGTTGCAGCGGGGGAAAACACTCGAGTAGCGGGGGTAGGCCCGCGACACTTAGAGCAGAGGGGAAAAACACTCAAGTAGCAGGTAGGCCGGTACCACTGAAGTAGTAGTGGAAGTGTCGGGTACTGGAGGCCGAGCAGCAGAAGACAAAACGTTGGCATTTTTAAAGGCCCAGTAGCGGTAGGTTAGAGGTAGGCCGGTACCAGTCCAAGTAGCCCGGGTCTAGGGCCTGCCCGGAGGTTAGCAAAGCCTGCAATGATGTTTCCCTCCGAAAGGGAGGAGGTACCGGTTGCTGGGAGGCCGCTCGGCCTAGGAAGTCACCGCCCAGGAGGCCAGTAGGCCGCTATATCTTTCGGAGGAGCAAGTAGCTCCTCCTCATTTGCGGTATGCAAGGATTGGCGACATGCTGCTGGAGCACAGCGCTGGCTGATACAGCACTGCTTGGAGGTGAAGGGCAGTTGGCGCTCAGCCTGGCTATGGCGAGCAGCCCAGCTTGAGGAGGAGGAAGAAAGGGGGCTAAGGAGGAGAGTGGCGAGGCACCTACCTGGCTATGGTGGACTTGTTGTTGTTGTTGTTGTTGTTGAGCCAGCAGTAAGAGGGAAATTCATATATTGATTCTGGTTCATCCATTCATTGTTATTATTATTATTGGGAGAAGAATAAGATTGGCGAAGTGAAGGAGGAGGAAGGTGGAGAGAGAAGGGGGAATTGTCATTGGTCTCGCTGGTGCATATCTTCTTCTTCTTCTTCTTCTTCTTCTTCTTCTTCTTCTTCTTCTTCTTCTTCTTTCTCTCTCCTCTGGTCTCTATCTCTTTGCAAGTGCTGTCATTTCTTTCGCAACTGGGTGGCATTGTCTTTCATTGTGAATTTGCACTTTGGAAATGACCAGGATCGTAACAATTGGTATCAGAGCGGACTTACTTGCTGGCGAGAGGTGTTAGTCACCCTAAACCTAATTCCGAGTTAGGTTAGGGCTAACCTAATCTCGGATTAGGGTTAGGAAGTTAGGGTTAAGTGGGGCAGTGAGGCATGTGGATACTGCCCCCACCTGGTTAGGTCATGTAGGGTCGACATCAGACYTGAYYARRTTGHTTGWGTGATTGGATGGGGTGGCGAGACACAAAGGAGGCTGATTGGAGTAAGCGAGAGGGAGTAGAGAGTGAGAGGTACTCGCACCTGGAATCTGCACTTCAAGAAGACATTGAGTGACTTTTGGGCTTCCCCTCAAGAGGGAGACTTGATCGGAGACTGCCATATCTGCATCGAAGAGCTGCAAGTTGCTACTTCGGTCTTCAGACATCAGCGAGGGATCCGGCGTTGCAACAGGGGTGTAGGAAGGCCCTCTTAGTCATGCTCGGACACTTCGTGTAGTGGTAGCTAGGGGTAAGGAGGACTTATGAGAGAGGGGGGTGAGTCGTTATCCATCTTTCAAGGTCGGGCCTCACAGGTAAGTGCCGTGTGACCTGGTTATGCCCGTGGGAGGTTGCTTGGTGCTTCATGGCCTGTTGGGGTGTGCTGGGCTCTCTTCCTCTTCTCTGCGGTCTTGGTTGTGTGTGTGAGCATGTGGATTGCTTTCTCACCTGATGGATGGATGGATGATGTATCTGTTCTCAATGACATATCTATCTACGGTGCATTGTCTTTTCATTTCTGAACGGTTGTAGGGGTAAGTTCTTGCTGAAAGTTGTCTTTTCCAGTTCAGTACGGTAGAGGCAGTTTGGGACTGACTTGGTACACCCATCTCGTTGGTCCTGGTCCACGACCTACTTGGGACCTTCGGGGCTCAGTGGGACCAGGCCCAACGGGACAGGACCTTTCGGGCCCAAATTTGTTGCGGTCAATGCATCTCTTTGTTGTGCTGAACTTGGGGGACATACGGCTAGCAAGGGCATTCCTTTCAAGGGGATCTTGACTGGTCTTATTGCATGTTATCACATACTGCCCCGCGTCTGGCTCGGCGACCGTCTGCACCCCTCGAAATCTCCATTGCTGTTAGTTTTCTTCGGCTGATTTATTGTGGTACATGTACCCTGTCGGGTTAGACAAGAGGGGATCTCCAGCTAATCTGATTGGGCCCGTTCGATAAGTCAGTCCTCTCTTCTGTTTGTTTGTTTGTTTGTTTGTTTGTTTGTTTGTTTGTTTTTTTTTTTTTTTTTTTTTTTTTCCTGTATTCTGCTGCGTGTCATTCTCTAAATCCAAATGAATTGTCGCTCTGGCTAGGAGCTCTACCTTCTACTCTTTGTGATTAACTGTTTGTTTCTTTTATCTGAACTATCTATGTCCGGTATTGAGACGCGTGCGCAGGAAGCGGAAAGAGAGAGAAGGTGTTCTTTTCGGGAACGTGACGAAGGGCAAGAGGAGTGTTCGTCCAAACGTGAGGAGAGAGCGGACCCCTCTTGAGAGATCTGCTAACACCCCTTCCTCCAGCATGGCAGACATCTCATCTGCCCAATGGCAGGCCATGCTGGACGCAGTGGACGAGAACGAGAAACCGTTCTTTCAAAAACTGTGTGACGATGCTGTACAGAGGGAAAGGGAGGCAGAGGCAGCAGCCAGAGCCACAAGCATTGTTGAACAGGTGGCCCTCCTTGTGGTTCCGGAATCGAATGATGACCGGTTCCGAGAGAAGATAGTTGTTGCCGTAGCAACCTTGGTTCGACTACGGACCCTGGAAGACCTTGAGTCCCGTGTGACAGCCCTAGAGCAACGGAATCAAAAGTTGCAGGCTGAGATAGTCAGCCTCAAACAGTCCCAACTGTCTGTCCCCCGTCCACCTAACCCTCGACTTGCTGCAGTCCGAGTCTCTCAACCTAACACAGTCCTCATGACGAGACCAAGTGGAACTGTGACGAGCGCAGGGACCGGTGTCAGCTCCTCAAGCGGCAGCGCCAGCAGTTCTGCACTGGTCATAGTCCCAAATGCAGGAACTTCAGCCCAAAACGTCACAGTTCTTACTGGCGTACAGTACAGCGGTCCCATAGTGGACAAGCGGACGGCCACTCTGCCATCCAAGTACGATGGGAAAGGGGACATCACCTCTTGGATCAGCCCCATGCGCTCATACTTCGAGGTACTGCGAACACCGCAGGAAGACCAAAGCATGATCATGGGCACAAATACTGAGCCCGTCGTACGGAGTTTCATAGAACTCCAAGCTGTTACAACAAGTTATGACAGGATTGACCTGACTGAGTGGCTGAAAGTATCTTCTGTACGCACTCTTGAGAACCTTCTCATCACACGGTACCAAGATAAGCACGTTGCGCTCAAGGCAAGGCTGAAGCTTGAGGCCCTCCATGCAGGCGTTGGAACAACACTTGACTGGTCTGTTCACCACTCCAAACATGGGAATGACCGACGTGTCTTGCATGGATGTAGTCATGGGAGTGGCCCCTAAGGAATACCTCTCCCTGTTAGGACTCAAAGACCATACCACTTGGCGAAAGCTCATGACGGATCTAGTCAACCTAGAGGCCAAGGACCTCGCCAGGCGTACAAAGGCACCCGTTGCAGGTAAAAAATCACAATGCAAGCGGTATGGAAGCAGCAACCAGCTTGCCCTGCATGAACATGGGAGGCTGAAGATCAGTCCTACGCGGATGAACTGTCTCTAGATGACGATCTAGAGCCGGACTCCGATATGGGCTATTCTACATCAGCCATTGAGTCTGACGTGAATGAAGAAGAAAACTTTAATGCATTCAAAAAGACTGCTTCAAGCAAGGGGCCTAACCGTGGTTCGGGTAGGGGAACTATAGCACACCTCCCCAAGAATGCGAAGATCCCTGAGAAACCGGAGGACGCTTCCACCAAGCCTTGGGAAGCCCTCCGCATCACTCAAAAGGAATGGGGAAGAAGATTCAAACTGCGCGTGTGCTTGCATTGTCAAAAGTCTGGGCATGGTGTGCATGATTGTTATCGCCTGCAGGGAAACAGACAAAGGGCGTAGAGGAGTCATCGAAGATCCCTGAGAAACCGGACGACGCTTCCACCAAGCCTTGGGAAGCCCTCCGCATCAGCCAAAAGGAATGGGAAAGAAGATCCAAACTGCGCGTGTGCTTGCATTGTCAAAAGTCTGGGCATGCTGTGCAGGATTGTTATCCCCTGCAGGGAAACAGGCAAAGGGCGTAAAGGAGTCATCAGCACTCTCTACAGCAAGGGAAGCTGAACAGTCAGTTGCAGGCCCTTCCAAGGAGCCTGAATCTAATCAACAGTTTGCTCTTGAAGCCCGGACTGATGCTGAATCCAAGGCTGGTGCAGTCCAAGTACTTCACACTGAGCCTTGGGAAGAGACTAAGGAAGTTGACTTCCACTCACACCTGGAAAATTGGCTGCAGCTC